AAATAACTAATATGTTTACATTTCTACTGTTATTTTCACATTTTTTGTCATTTTAAATAAATTCCCACCTCATATATACTGTTTTTTTTATTACTTGCAGTCTGTTGCTGCTATCTTTGTGCAAATATTAACATATTATAAAAGTTTTAAATAGCCTTTCTGTGTTGCAAATGTCTCTGCGCATGCCATTTTTTAATAGCTGTACAGTAAAATTACAACACAAATTCACTTGGTCCATGATCTCTTTGTGAGGTGAAGCGCCGCTTTCCCAACAACAGAGATACTGAGAGTTCAGAGGTCATGAAGCTGATATTCAAAATACAACAAACTATCTCCCAAAGTTATTTCCATGCACTGTATGGAAAGACACAAGTTTATTTGACATCAAATCAGACAAAACTTTTACTGTTTAAAGCCAGTTAAAGTCACAAGAGTTAATTATATCACACTTAGCTTTCTTCAAATTCAAACGTTTATGCACATGTTCTTAGTATTTAGTATGGCTGCATTTTAATCTGCCAGATTTGGGTGAATAATTTTGAATATTCTCCTTCAAGCTTCTCCCTTCATGCTTCAGTAAACTTTCAACTAACTCAATTTAAACGCTGTATCCTGTTTTTATTTTTAATCTGCATTTTAAGGTCTCTGATTTTATTTAGTTATATTAACAGTTATTGTGGTTGTTTTTGACATTTCTGCAGAGGCGAGTAAGGTAGCCAAAAATTATATTCAAGAGTAGTGCTACTTTAACATATTTTTACTCAAGTAGCTGTCCAAGAAAATACTCGAATAAAAAAAAGTAACTGATCAAATAATATTTAAAAATTACATAATCAGACCAATTTTTTTGCATTTTAAGGATCAAAATAAAAATAATTCATGTAACATAATAACAAAAGAACAAAATCAGGCAAAAAAATATGTATATTTTATGAATCATTAGACAGGTCAAAATATAAAGTTATATGGAAATTTTTGCATTTTGAGGAGCAAAATGAAAATAATTCCTATAAATAAAAATAAAATAAATGGAAAAAAAATTAATGTATTTCTATTTAAAACTTATGAAACATTAACAAAACCTGCAGGTCTACATCTGGTGAATTTTTGGCTTCATTCAGTTAAGTTACTCACGGTAAGCAGAGTATCAAGAAATGTAACTCAAATAAAAGTAGCAAAACTTTACAATAAAATTACTCAAGTAAAAGTAAAAAGCACAGCCTAATAAAAATACTCCTACAAGTACATTTTCCTCAAGTAACAAAGTGTAACTAGTTTACTCAAGATTTCTGTAAATATAAATAGCATTTTTTAAAAATTCATTATTATTATTATTATTATTATTGAAATAAAGTGATAATAGATGATGGAACCAAAGTTTTAAATCAGCGTTCATAAAATAACAACACAGCTTGACATACACTGGACATAATTACTCACCTGAAATAATGTTTAGCTGATTTTAAAAACAATTGTTAGACAAAAA